AATATTGAAATTGAGTATATATTATTATTACCAAACAGTGTATATTAAAAATCCAAATATAATACACTTTTATAACAGTCGTGTAATTTCAAACAATAACTTAATTAAAACTGAAATGACGCTTATTAAAATCGAGTATATATTATTATTATCAAAAAACGTATATTAAAAATCCAAATATAACACAGTCGTGTAGTTTCAAACAACTTGGTTAAAACTGAAACGATGCTTATAAAATATTAAAATCGAGTATATATTATTATTACCAAAATGTGTATATAAAAAATACAATGAGAATACACTTTTATAGGGTAAATAGATATATATATACACACACACATATATTCTATTTTTTTCAATTTAGTAATTTATTATTCACATTTTATATATATATATATATATATATATATATATATATATATATATATATATATATCTAAGCACTCAACAATTAGTTCAAAGACTTTAGATTGTTACGTATATTGAATTCCAGATTGTAAAATACAATTTATGGAATGTGAAAGATGTTATAATTATAATAAAACAATTAATATTATAAAAATGATTATACAACAAATATAATTGTATTGAAACAGTAAAACAAATCAGAAAAGGAAAAGATCTATAGTTCTGGCCTGTTAGATGGAGAGGCACGCAATGCGCTGTCCTAAAATCTTTGAAGTCTCCCTTACGTGCAGGTAATTTCGATCCACCAAAGATTCTAAGATATAACTCCAATGTTCCAATGTTCCCTATGCGCACGATCACAGAGAAGCTTTCACCAAGTTTGATGTCACGTTGCCCAGAGAAACAGAGAATATATATATATTGTAGGAGTATACTGTATGATGAAGAAATGATATAATCGCAGTAGGTTTTCTGAGAGTAGAACTTGTTATTTTATATTTATCTCCGCTAATCAAACCCTAGATATTAATAGAATTTGATTACGTATTTTCATAAAGAGATGCGACGTTTGGCTTAATAGTTATAATATTTATTTTAATTTCTTTTAATTTTATTATTATTATTTATAGTTAATTATAAAGGAATTTTGAATTTCTAACCAATAGAAATTCAAGAGTTAGAAGTTTTTAAAACTTCTCTGATAACTCTAACATGTTGTAACTTAATCTCTTGAATAATCCTTACCAACATTGGATGGGTTTAATATGAATTGCTTATATTTACAACGTGGGAAGATCACATTTATCCAATATTGCAATAAAGGAAATGGAAACAAGTGAAATGAGTTGATTGGAATTGTTTAGTTTTTCAACTGAAATACAGTATCATAGTTTTAGAAGAATTATTGTCTTGTATGAGACAATTCATCAACGTCGATGAAACATATATAAGTGGTCACGAGTTTGTTTGTTTTCTCGTGACAATAAATGTTGCCTATGTGATATGATAGAGAAATGTTTGACATGATATATATAGCTCAACTACTTTAGTACCTCTATATGGACTTAGCCTTAGTTGCTTTCTCTTGAATTACTTATTTATGGGCCTTCAATCGCCATTTAGGTTAAATTAATACTCTCTTTTTAAAAAAAAATTAAAAATGTCTTTAAATTTTTTAAAAGAGATATTTTTTTTAAAACAAAAATAGTATTATCTCCTAAATATTTATCAAATACGTATAAAAGTTGGAGAACAAGTTATATTCGATGGAGGTTGGATTTTATTATTCCACAATTGATTTTATTAAAATAAATACATCATAACGTGGCTCAAAAAGTACAGTAATAAAAAGAAATCATGCGAGTAATGACTTCAACCAAAGCCGTCAACTTGCATACGTATTTGTGCGTATTATCCTTAAATTTATTGTTGTAGTACCATTTTAGGCCCATTTGACCACTATTTTTCACATTTAGCCTTAAATGACACTGTCGTCATTTAGCCTTATCTATTCATGTTTCAAGGGATGAGAGAGGAGTAATAATGGATGATGAGAGAGGAGTAATAATGGATGAGGTTAAAATGCAATATAAATAGAGACAGAATTTTGTTTTAGGTTTGAACAAAAATAATATATAAAAAATATATCTTTTTAAGTTTTAAACTAAAGAGACTTGACAATTTTTATTGAAAATTAAGTGACATTTAAACAAAAGTACTCTCTATTTCTTTTATTGATAAATGTTTATTATTAAAGTTTATGAGAAATTGAAATAAAAATATTCAAATAAAAAAATTTCAGAATTTGAATTTTGATAAAATTACTGTAAAACAATTTGTGAAGAAAAATTGACTACCTAACAATGCATTTCAGTTATCACTTCTGTTTTATCAATTTTTTCATCTTCATTAATTTAGGTTGCATCTTTCTTCTTCTTCTTTTTTTATTTTTATTTATTTTTTTATTTTTTTTATTGTACTTTTCTCAATATATACACACACTAAGAATTTTATGATTTAAAAAGTAATATTGCAATCGATCTTTAAAATTTTTGAGTTTTAATTGCATGGTACTAATTTGACTCCACTCTAAGGATATTATGATATAAAAAATGATATTGCAATCTATCTTTAAAATTTTCGAGTTTTAATTGCATGGTATTAATTTGTCTCCCCAAATAAAGTTTTATTTATTTATTTTTTGCTTTGCCCATGTAATTCGGGAAGATAAAGTTTTAGGCACCATAATATATTTTCTTTCCATCTCAAAAGGGTGCTCAAAAGCTGTGATTGTTCGGCTCTCCTTGATCAGGAATTTCCATTTGTGATGGGTAGTTATACTCAAAATACAAACACAGATTAGTCCTTCACAATCTCAGAAACAATCACCATGGAAATGAATATGCCATTGCCATATCATATGAACAATATTTATCTCCTGAAATGTAACAGAGGCAAAAATGAATTAGCCAATTTGGAATGAGTTTGACACAAGTAGAAAATGAGTTTAATGTTTTGTTATTTCATTTTCTTCTTTTGATTTTTGATTTTTTAAATTATAAAGGATACATGTCACATTAATAAGATGACAGTCAATTTCAAGCAGAAGGCTTCTCCTCCTTTGCATGTAAGGTAACACACACACACACATATATTTTGGGGAAAGTGTAAGGAAACAAATATATGTTCATACATATTCAATATCTTTTAAAAAATAAATATTTTTGGCCTATTAAAATATGTAGTAACTAATAAGTTAAAATGGAAAGCAACCAAGACTCGCTTGTTGATAGAACTTCTATTAATCAAATGAATCTGAAATAATTTAATTTATTTTTCAATTTGTATTTTTTTTTTTTTTTTTGAGATTTTAGATGTTTTAATGTGACATATTTTGAAAGTAATATGGTTGTTGGTCATCAATAATAAGCATTCTTTATTGCCTTGAGAAAAAAATATAATCACTCCGTCACATAAACTTGTCAATTTTGAAAATTTTGACTCACAATAAAATTTTAGTTGTAACAAATTCATTAACATGACAATTTTTATTTTGTCACTAAAGTTGATTATTGTAATATATACTCCCTCTGTTCTATAAAATTTAACCACTTTAAAAATTGTGCGTCACAAAATATTTGTTCTTAGTTATATCTTTAAAGATAGACAAACAAATGACAACGAGTTGAATTGGTCATATCCATAAGACCATGAACACATGAGTTAAGAGTTTGGTAAAATGGTTCATCAATATTTATCATATATACTAACCAAGGGGCTTGTGGCCCAGTGGTATTTCATCTACCTCCTAAAGTGAGTGGTGAAAATTTCAATTTCTAAATAAGCAAAGTGAGTCGGTTAATTTCTTACCAATGCAAAAAATAATAATAATAAAATAAAAAAAAGTCACCAAAATTGTATACTTTTCTAGCCATCACAATAAACATTGTTTATGTGGTGCAAGAAATGCTCCACATGATAGTTCACTACGAAAATTGTCTACTTTTCTAGCTAGTGTTGGGCATAGCCTTAATTGCTTTCGCACTGATGTATCAGCTGGGTGTTTGTTGCTTTCGCATTAATGACCTAATTTGTAATTTACTTTCGCTTTATCAGCTAGGGCGTTAGTTACTTTCGTAAAATATGGATTCCCTCTAGCTAGTGTTGGGCATAGCCTTAATTGCTTTCGCACTGATGTATCAGCTAGGGTGTTTGTTGCTTTCGCATTAATGACCTAATTTGTAATTTACTTTCGCTTTATCAGCTAGGGCGTTAGTTACTTTCGTAAAATATGGATTCCCTCGTAAATAATTCACCGAGTTGACCATCTATACCTATCATCAGATTCAGATTGGGCAAAATTCAGTTTGAATCCGATTCGTAATTCGTTTACAGGCTTAATGTAAACAGGGTCAGAGCAGGTTGATCATGGAACCTACTCGGTTCTTTTATGAATTGACAGGTTGATCATGAATCATTAAATCACGACCTAAAACTAAAACTAATTGATCGGTTTAAAACTATGTGGAACATGAACATTTGGACTTATTTAGATATAGCTAATTATTTTTTTTTCCCATTTAAGTGCTGTTTGATCCAATTAAAAATTATGTTAAATAATTTTTAATTTATTAAATGATATTTAATATGTATTATCAAACATATTTAATTAAATAAGTATTTTAATATATTTAGAATTAAGTGTTGAATTAAATTATCAATCAACACTATAATCTTGCATGACATTGTCATGAATTAACCACGTCCATTTATGGAATTAGTGAGTTATAATCAATGAGGTTAAAAATGCAATCTATATGAGACAGTCTCATAGAAATTTGTGTTGGAGGCCGGTTTGGATAATAAAAACACAAAAAAACTCATTTAAGCTAAGGAAAATGATTACGACGCTGAACCAGCCAAATGAATGGGAAGCCTAAGCGGCATGATTGTTGATGTGGAACCTAAGTTTCGATCGCACACCAAACATCATGTGACAATTATATTAGTAAATTAAGGTTGCAATTTGAAAAAAAAAGAAAGTTCCAACATTAAAATTGACTTTAATTATAGTAGGTGTATTGATTGGGAAATTAAACACTAACAATAAAGAGACATAATTATACAGTGAAGCTTATTACATATGATCACAGTACATGCATAGGGAATTCAGATACATTTCCTTACAACTTCTAATGCTATTTCCCAGCCAATGAGACATTAATTGGTAGATTCTAGGAACACACACTAACCATTTCACATTATTGCACAGTTCAACCGACATACATAATTAATTAATAATAAGAAAGCAAGGTGTAGATGGTCTGCAACAAGGTGAGCGCAAAGAGGATGATAGCAGCAATGACTGATATGATTGTCCACGGATTGCTAAAATAATCCTGTCTCAGTTTTACAAGGAATTTTGGCCAGCTTCGCTTGCAGTAACTGTTGACGTCTATGCATTGATTTTTGAAGCAGAAATCGTTTTCAGATACATTTTTGCAAATATTGTTGAAGAAAACAGACACCTCTTCACTTGAACCCAAATGGTTGTGTATTATACCAGCTTCCTCAAGCAATTCAACATCCTCTGGGGAGTTGATGAGTTTATCCATGAGGAGAGCAAGTGACGTGAAGTAACGTTCTACACCAGGACAACTTTGCTCAAAAGCAATGATGTTTCTGAAGAATGGCTCTGTATGGTCATAAATGCAGAAAGGTGGGATTTCAAAACGACCTCTCTTACACAGCCCAACACAAGACCGATCATCAGTACGAAACCTGACGTCCAATAGAGTTTTCGCATTACCTGCGGCCTCCAACTTGACTCCTGCCATTTTGAGTTTTGCTGCAGAATATTTGAAATCCTCCCCCGTTGTGTTGCCAGTTGAATGCTCCTTTTCGGCTGTGTAGCTTTTGTGTAACAGATGGAGTATATGACAACAAGTAGTAGTTGATGCATCCTTCGTCTCCTTTGTGTCCTTCCCTGTCCCTGTTTGAGATGCCACGGCTTCAGAATTGTCCAAAAGACACAATGAACAATATTTCCCACCAGTTGTCTGTTCTTTCGCAACTGTTAGCGCTTTCTGGAAGCCCATCACATCTTCAAAGAATGAAAGTAGACATTTAGTGAGGGAGGGATATTCTTCATTTCTTTCAGAAGCGTCTTTCTCGATCAGCCAGAACAATTCTTGAAGAACAAGAAATGGAATCTGGTTCTCGAATAAGAGTAAATCGTGTCTGACAGCATTGTACCTGAAACTGTTGTGCAAAATTAGGTCAGGATCGTTATAGTGATGCCTGAGTAGGAGTTCAATAATGAAGCAACCGTCAGTCAGCATCATTTCTACGAACTTTTTCGATGGCATGGCCTCAGAGAAATCTTCTGCGTAGTATTTCCGAGCACAATTTTCGCGTTTTGACACAGCCTCCTCACAACAGTTTTTCAATTCTTTCTGCTTCTCTTCAGATGGAGCTCGAGAAAGCAAGCGATCCATGTATCTCGATTTGACAGCCTCCATTGCTTGCAGATGCGGCTCAGCTCTGTGCAGAGGACCAATGGATACCATGCTGGGGTTGTAGGCTGTTTTATTCAGTTCACGAATCCCATCGGGGATTCTGTGAATACAAGGAGTGGGAAAAGTAAGGTCATCGATTAGTCCATACTCCAAACAAATCAGAGCATCCATAACCGATCGATCTCTTTGGTACTGAATTAATTTGATGGTTCTTGTGTCTTCAAGCGTACGTGTTAAGCTTAGCAGCGGCTGTGAGTTTGATTAAGGTAACACTCAGCCGCCTCTATTTATACTTAAAAAATGGGACTTCTACGGTGATTGGAATTCATTTCTTTTAACTCGATTTGATAAATATATAAATTAATAACTCATATAATTTAATTAGTGAATTGCAATGTCTCCTATTATTGGAGGAAAAATTATTTGGCACTTAAATATGTGGATGTCTTGTAAAAATAAGTAAACAAATTTTAAAATTTGTGAACTGTGACCACAAACTCATTGAAGAAAATATTGTTTGACACTTAAATATATGAATTTCTTGCAAAAATGTTTATGCAAATTTCTAGAATTATTTATACAAGATGAGCATGACAGATAGTATCATTTTCCCGAGAATGGGAAGCCCACATGAGGAGCTTCAAGAGGGTGTATGCCCAAACTATGTAGACATGTATTTTCGATAAAAATTTTGCCAAAACAACCAAATATTTGTTGTGTAGTGTTATTACTATTACTTATAAGAGGTGATGTGACAAGAAACCTATAAGATTTCGATATTTATAATTTTAAAGTTAAAGAAAAATTCTAGTCCTACAATTTTATAAATAAAAAATAAAAATAAATAGTGAACCATGGGAGAATACCTCTTTAGAATAATTATATTCTAATCAAAATTTAAAATTAATATATTTTGTCAAAGATATATATATATATATAAATATTTTTTTAATACTGTAGGTGGATTGAATCTATTATGATTTTATTCCCTGCATCTTTTAACCACATGTAAAATAAAATCATCATCCAAAGTTAACCTTTTCACAGTGTGTCAAAAGTTGGTACGTTCATTTTTCCATCTGTGGTAATATCAGAAGTCAACCTTTTCATACTGTCAAAAAGTGGCCAAACAACCAATATTTGTCGTGTAGCGTTACACTGTTATTTGTATTAGTTTTAATATGTCGGTGATGAAACATTTCAGGATTCCATATCTACAATTATTATTATGATAAAGAAAACTGCTATATTTCACCACAAAAATTACAAGAACAATAATAATTAAAAATAAATAAATAAAACAAACTATGCAAGAACAATAATAATTATAAATAAATAAATAAAACAAACCATGCAAGAACAATAATAATTATAAATAAATAAATAAAACCATATCTACAATTATTCTTATGATAAAGAAAACTGCTATATTTCACCACAAAAATTACAAAAACAATAATAATTAAAAATAAATAAATAAAACGAACCATGCAAGAACAATAATAATTAAAAATAAATACATAAAACAAACCATGCAAGAACAATAATAATTATAAATAAATAAATAAAACCATACGTACGGAATTATCTTTTTATGGAAAAAATAAATAAATATTTGTGGCAAAATGGGTTGAAGTGAATGCTTTAAATAAGCGGCCATATTAGGTACTCCCATCATCCATCTCTCACCAGTACACACTTGTGTGACAATTTGAATTTGCGCTAGAATGAAACACAGCAGTTTTCCCTTGATTGCCACCGCCACCACCATCTCTTCCTTCCGACACTACCACCATGGCCTCTTTCTCTTACTACTAGCTTCTTCTTTTGTGTCCAGTCTTGCCGGTTCCGGTGAAAGTCCTCGTCCAAACCTTGGAAGCCTCAAGCGGTCTTACTCATCTCCAACGTGTCCAGCTGATCAGTCTGATCCAGGTATGCATTTATATCTTATTAATTGGGTTCAAAAAAAATATACTTTGCAATTTAGTTAGCATTAACCCAAAAAAGAAATAAATAAATATATATTTGGTTTTTTTTTTTTTTTCGATAATTATGATTTGGTTTTTCTCTAGAGTTAATTTTTTTACCAAGTATATTTTTTCTTTTTTCAGTAAATGCTAAGTATATTTCTTTGAACCCAATTAATTAATTAATTAACCTAAACAACCGGCCGCCCATGAGATCGATGAGATCGACCAACAATATTGGTTGTAAATATCATAAGACTACTTGTGTGTATATACATATCAATTTTAATTTCTCAGAGGTTTGAACTTCAGAACTGCAGTGGAAGGGCAGGCCTTAGTGCATGATTCACTTCTTCCCATCAAACAGCTGGGAAAACGAAGCTGACAACTAGTTGGAAGGATCAGTAAATTTCATTGTCAATATATGTGAAATAATGCACAATTAATTAAAGCATAGACTAGTTCTTGTTGTAGAGGATACCATTTTTTGAATTTCTTGCCTCACATATTGATTATTTATTTATCGTTTTTAATTGTCTAACTTGGAGTTCATGGGTGAGAGCGCCCAAATTTCCTTACATCAATCAAACTAATTAGTATAACTTCAACAAACTTCATGCAGGTAAAAAGGTAGAAGAGGAGTCGTCCAATGGCCTCACCAAATATCCCAATGGTATGCACGCGGATTCAATGAAAATCTTAAAAAATTATAAGAAATTTAAATATTAAAATAATTATATGACACCATACTACTTACGAAGTGTAAAGATTTTTTATTTTTTTAAAATTTCACATTTTTATTGCTATATTATACATATGCTATTGTACCCTTTACCAATCACCTAGAATTTTTTTAACACTATAACCAGTTATCTCACCCATAAATAGGATCCATATGTGTTATTTATTATTCAATTCAATATAATTTTTATTATTTATAACATAGTAATAGGGCCCGAATAATAATAATCTTAGTCCATTGTTGTCCCCGTCGAAAATGGTACCATCAGCCCATCTCAAAGTTCTCTAAATAAAATCATCTATTTTCCCTTCAGTCGACAAATATCACTATCAACCACCTCTTTTATCAGCGTGCCAGATCTTCACGGATCCGTTAACGTGACGGACCTTCACACAACTGCCAAAGCGCCTCCAGTGGTAATCATGGGTGCTTCTATGCGTCTCAGAGTGTCGGATCTTCAAAGCTCCACCAACGCGCCTCAGTGGTGATCATGCGCTTCCACTTGCTCTCATAGGTCTGATCTAATTCCACATCATCCTGACTTACCGCCACATCAACAATGCCTGTCAACAAAAGTCTGACCTTTTTATACTGATGGTATATACACCAAATCTCTTCTGGTCAGCTATTTTTATGATATTATCTCCGAACTCAAGCTAGTTTTATATACCTTGAGTTAAACTCAAATGAGTTGGCTCAAGTGGGTATAAACTTGAACTTACCCAAGTCTAAGGTTTAACTCTTTTAATGTGCAAACAATTTATTGGTTGGGGTGGGGTTATCAACTAGGAAAAAAAACTTATCTTGAGTTAACCCAAAGGAGTTGGCTCAAGTGAATAAGAATTTGAACTCGTCCAGGTCTAAGGTTTGACTCTTCTTAGGAACAAACAATTCATTGAGAGGGGGAAGAGGGGGGTGAGTATCAACTAGGAGAAAAAAAACCCACCTTGAGTTTGAGAGAGATTATTATGCTGTGTTTGGTGTGCAGGAATGGACTATAATCCTCCATTCCAATCATTCATTTATTTGATATTCAATTTAAAGTAGGAGTGACTATTTTATTGGAATGAAAATTCATTCAACAACTAAACCTACAGATTGACCATTCCATTTCTAAATAAATTTTTTTTTTTTTTTTTTAAAAAAAAATCATGGTCCCAAAAAAACGATTAAGTTTTAAGTTCAAAAACCGCCATCATCACTGCCTTCCACCACCATTGCCACCACCACTATCGCCTTCCACCATTACCGCCACTATTACCATTGCTTTCCACCACCACCCCCACCACCACCACCACCACTTCCACCACAACCACCACCACATTTCACCACCGTCACTGTTACCGCCATCATTGTTGTTGCCTTCAATTACCATACTGCCGCCGCATCCACTACCTTCCACCACCAAATTCCACTACTACCATCTTTCACCACCTCAACTTTCATTATCTTCCACCACCACCGCCACCGCCTTAACCTCCACTACCTTCCAACATCATCGCCAACACCGTAACTTCCACTTCCTTCCACCACTATCCCCTACCCTACTGACGCCTTCCACCACTACCACCACTGCTTCTACCACCACCTTCCACCAACACCACTAACGTTTGCCACCACAACCGCTTCCGCCTTCCAACACCACCACTGCTTTCCACCCTCACCACCATCTCACTGACTTCCATCAAGGATGGACTATAATATTTGCTTAACCTTCCCAATATATATATAAGAAAAAAATAATTTTATTTTTTATTTGTTACCAAACATATTTTTTCTTTTCCTTTCAAAAAAATTCAAAGTAGATGTATGTTACCAAACGTATTTTGCTTCAAACAGGCCCTTAATAAGTAATTTTGATCTTGAAAGCTTTTAGATGAATAATGACAATCGATACGGGTTGACTCTTATCTTGAAGTGGATTTTTTAAAGTAATTTTCTATTATCATTTTTTTCTTTTTTAATTATCCCAACATTAAATTTGTTTGGTATTTTTTACAATTAAATTATTATTATTTATTTATTTGGTAAGAATATTTGTTTTACAATAATATTATTTAATAAGATGTTATCATATTTGATAATAGTAATTTTATTAATGAAAGAGTGTAATTGTCTTTATAAAAAATAAAAATGTCAAAATTTTCTAATGAAAATAGTTAACTAAAATATTTAATAGCTTCTAATGGTTACCATACACATCTAAACGTAATTTTTTTTAAATAAAAGTATTTTTAAGCAATAGAGAAGCAATCCCAAATGGGCTTTAAGTTTAAATTTTTAGGCTCTATTTGATTAGATGGAAATAAGTAAGAGAAGAAAAGAAATAGAAATTGAAAAGAAAGTGAGGTGAATTTAAGGAAAAGTAATTTTCTACCAGGCATTTGGTTAACATGAAAATTTATTTAAGAAAATTGTTGGACAATATTAATTAGTTAGTTTAGATAGTATGAAAGTGAAAAAAAAAAAGAAAAAAAAAGAAAAAAAAAAGGTGATTGTACATACCAAAACTACCCTTATGATGTCAAATGCAAAAAAATAAACAAATTTATGTGTGATGATAACCATTTTTAGTAAAGAAATAGTAAAATGATGGATTATTAAATTTAATTATATAATTATTTAGTATTTATCTTAATTATTTATATTTAAAATAAGGCTTCATAATTTTTTTTTTAGATAGAAGTAATTATTAATTTAAGAGAAACTAAACTTTAAAAAATTTAAAAATTGATTATATGTTTTTTTTTTCTTGGTAAAATTATATATTATTGTTGCCAAGTATATTATTATCAATTATTAGATCAAAAAAATAATAACAAAAAAATAAAGTTAGATGAGCCTCACATGGCTCACGCACCCAAAGAAACCCACTAAAAAACAAAGAAAGAAATCACTAAACAAAATTTTTTTTTTTTAGTTAAAGGAATCACTAAACAAGTTACCTCTCTTTTGACAATTTATTTTGTACTATTAAATTTTTGGATAAAATAGGTACATCCAATAAAAATGAACTCCTTTCACGTAAAAATATTATTTTTGCTTCTTTTTGTTGGAAAAGTTTGGGAAAAAATAGTGGCGTACGTCCTCTTTTCTTCTATCCAAATAACAAAAAAATTTAAAATTTTCTCTTTCATTTCTTTTTTAATTGATTCCATCTAACTAAACAAAGCCTCACTGAAATGTAACTTCAATTAATAGTCTTCTTCTTCTTCTTCTTTCTGTTTTTTTTTTTTTTTTCTTAAGTCTTCTTCTTCTTCTTCTTCTTCTTCTTCTTTTTTTTTTTTTTTTTTTTTTTTTTTTTTTTTTTTTTTTGTAGGTGTCATGCAATAGTTTGTCCAATTTTAAACATTAATGTTCAATATTTTCTAACCTTTTCATTGTTTACCCTTATTGCAAAAGTTAAAAAAAATCGTGGACTCTACCAACTCAAACAAAAATGATAAATTTGAAAATTCATTCATGTAAATGTAATAAATTAGTAATAAAAAATTAAAATCAATATCCTAAATTTTGACATTTAAAATGGAGTATTTTAATTTTTTAACACGTGCATCTAAACAACCACATAGTGCAAATTTTAATATTTTAATCCTCTAGAACATCCTGTCAATTTTATCGACTTATAAGTGGGTCACCACTACCCATTTAGTCAGTTAAATTTTGTTTATTTTATTTTTTAGGTTAATTATAATGATTCTCCCTAAAGTTTATCATAATGACATCTGTACATAAGTTAAGTCTTTATTAAACAAAGACACCCCGACTATCACCCTGCCACGTCTCACAGTTAGGCTCCGTTTGGTTAGATGAGAATAAGTTAGAAAAGAAAAGAAATAGAAAGTGAAAGAAAAGTGAAGTGAATGAAAAGAAAAAAGATTTTTTAGTACGCATTTGGTTAGTATGAAAATTTATCTAAGAAAATTGTAAAAAAATATTAGTTTGTTTGTTTGGATAGTATGAGAGTGAAAAGAAAGTGATTATGCATACCGAAACTACCCTTATGAATTAAAATGATAAATTATTAAATTCAAATATATAATTGTTTATATTTATTTTTATTATTTATATTTAGAATAAGGCTTCATAATATTTTCTAGGTAAAACTAATTATTAGTTTAAGATAAACAAATTAAAAAAAAATAATTAGAGACTACTATTTGGGAGAAAAATTAAATATTTTACCATATATATATATATATATCCATACTGGATTATGAGTAGCTAGAATTGCAACATAGAACAGATAATTAAAAAAAATAAAAAATTCTATTTAGAAGCAAGATCTATTTTACCATGAATTTGGTTACTATTAAAGTCTTTCGAGAAAGTTATGATAAAATATTTACTTATCAAAAAAAAAAAAAGTTATGATAAAATATGATTTTATTAATTTGGGTAGGATGAAAGTGAAAAAAAAAAAAAATTCTACTTACCAAAATTACTTTTATATCAGTTAGAATTTAAAAAATAAATATTGTTCTATAGATGAGAAAAAAAAATTATAATAAAATAAGGCAAACTAATTTTTAAAGGTTGGATTACACATAATTAGAGAGCAGAGGAGGCTCAATTAAATATTAATATTTTTTTTCTTTTATTTTTGAACCTTCGCATTACATACGTGGATTATACTAAAAAAGATGCACCTATCCAATTTTATTTAAAGAAAAAAAAATTATTGCTTCATAAAAATAGTTGTTGAAAACTCACAAAGTCACAAAAGGGAGGATTACCCAACAACAAATATAAACAAGTTAGTTGGATTAAATAGGAAAGTCAAATAAAAGGGACTCCATTCACGGGAAAATACTATTTTCGCTTGTTTTGTGCGTGAAAATTTTTGGGGACAAATAGACCGATGCGGGAAACTAAATTTTCTCTTTCTTTTCTTTTTCCTTCTATCCAAACTCCAAAAAAGTTTAAAATTTTTCTCTTTCCTTTCTTTTCTAGTTGATTCCACTTAACTCTAATCGAAGCTCGCATAATATTGGTCAAGCTTACAGGGTAATTTTTTTTAAAAAACTCATTTTAAGGAATTAACATTGTTGCCCATTAACTTAACAATTAATCAATTTAAATAATAAAATTACCATTCTAACCTTGTATATATTTTTTATTATTTTTAAATAAAAATAAATTCAAACCCAAAAATTTCTTTCTCCCTAATACTGCTCATTACATGTTTTGGATATACAAATCTATCGTCTTCATCAACCTCTATTGCAGTGAATGTCTCATCCACCATCACCACCACTTCACTATTCAAAATTCAGATCTTCAACCTACATTCACACACACAAACACACATACAGGGGCGGAGCTCCCTATGGGATAACCCGGTCTTTTTCTAATTTGTTTGTAAGCTTGAAAAAGACCTAGGGGCTGTGCCCCTGCGCGCGCGCGCGCACACATACACCATCAATTTCAAACACCTAAATCTTCAATATAGATATACATATACATATATGTATCTATATACCTCTATGATCCTAGCATGACTTCGACGGTGGCCGCGGCGGAGGTAGAGGTGGAAGCGGAGGCAGCGTCGACACCACCACAACCTTCACCTTAAGCACGAGAATGATCCAAATTAAGAAGTACTTATTCATTACATGGATGGGCCTTATCTCCCTTTTCGGCAATGACACCGCCCAATTTGATACGTCCAAATTCCCCACACGATTCGGCGGCCAGATCCGGAGGTTCAACGACGACGATTTTTATTTTTGTGGTGACGGCGGCAACAGTGATGTGGGATTTAGGGGTGGAAAGATTTAGGGATTTGGTGATGGGTTTGAGGGAAGGGGCGTAGGTTGGGTTTGTTAGGGTTAGGCTAGGTTTGAGAGGTTATAGTTGTTCGTTGGTTTATTTTTTCTATTGTGATGGTGGTGGGTTTGTTAAGGTTAGATTTGAAAGGCCATGTTCTTCATTGCTCTGTTTTTTCTGTGGTGGTGGTGGGTTTGTTAGAGCAACTCTAATGGTAAAATGCTAAATTGGATGCCAAATATATATTTTGACAGTATTACAGTGTCAAAATGCTACATTTTAACAATTCTGCTCCAATGATACATTTTATGTAAAATGCTATTTTTTGATACAATCACCGTTCTTTTTCAACTACCATTCCCACAATTCATATTTGCATTAGTAATGTTAATATTAGACACATTCCAAGTCAATTTGTAAACATTAGAAGGAAACTAAAATTAAACTTAATTAAAAAGAATCAAAAATCTAAAATATCTCGTCAAAAAAGACCCAAATATATATATATATATATGTATATATATGTATAAATTTATATATTTGATTATATTATTATTTAAATTTTTTTATATAATTTTTTTTTCTTTTTCGAAAATTTATATATTATATATATTTGATTTTATATATATATATATATATATATATATATATATATATATATATATATATATATATATATAGGGCAAATCATTTCTGCCTCCTAAATCGCCATATACGGAGTATATTTTTAGGAAAAATCATTTCAGCCTCCCCAATCGCCTCCATCTCTATTTTCGTTCTCAACTCTGAGAACTTGCCCCCTCTCTCTCTCTCCAACTACAAGCTACAAAATCTACAAGAATTAGAAGTTCAAAACCCATATATTTCAGTTTATCTATCTGTCTGTAAGAATCAAAAGTTCAAAACCTATTACCTATATCAAAACCCATATCGGCATATGATTTCAGATTGTTCAAAAAAATCAAAACCCATATCTTTCAGTTTCCATCGCCCGCTGTTCTAGTTCGGGTTCGCCGTTCGCAAGCTTCAGCCGCCGTCTCTCAACTTTTAAGCTTGCCTCCCTCTCTCTCTCTGCAACTGCTAACTTGTATGTATGGGTTTTGTTTTAATTTTTTTCTAAATCAACTAATCGAGGTCTGGAATTCTTGATTTTGTGTATGCATATATATCTCTGCAACTGTAATTATGGTTTTGTAATCAAAAGTTCAAAACCCATATATTTTTGGTAAATTTGACACAAAATATAGAAATAGCTATTGCCATTTGTTTTGCTAGATTTGGCACTAAAAATGCAAAGTCAAATTTTGACAGATAATATAGCATGCCATTGGAGACCACAATTTTAACTCACCTGCTATATTTTGAATTGGCAGGTCATATGGCAGGTGGGTTGGAGATGCTCTTAGGGTTAGGATTTGAGAGGTCATTGCTCTATTTCTGTTGTGGTGGTCGGTTTGTTAGGGTTAGGTTTTGAGAGGTATGGTTGCTAGTTAATCTATTTTTTCGGTTGTGATTGTGGAAGTGTGGTGGTGTCTAGGGTTTTTGATGGAGAAGGTGAGAGGTTAGAGAGAGTAGCGACAATACTAATTAATGACATACCAAGGGTAAAAATGTCATTTAGGAGTTCTAATTATTTTTTAATTTAAATTAATAGAATATTGAAGGACAATCTTGACTTTTCACATCTTTTAAGAGTTTGGTTGGATCCAATTTTTGATGAAGGGTATCATCTTTCAAAAAAGACTCAACTTGTATATAGTTCTCATCGTAATTAATCCTTATTTTTTTGTCTTGCCAAAGGAGGGAGAGGAGGAGTGGAACACGGAACACAGCACATCGACTCGAAAAGTTGGTCACTCAATTTTCTTTTTCTTTTTCTTTTTCACCTCCCTCAACTAACTAGGCCAGAGTCAGAAGATTCTTATTATTAATTTTAAATATTCTTGTGCATGTTTCTTTTGTTTTCAGCTGCCATGAGTTGCGAATGCCCATTAATAGAAGAGGAAGCGTTTATCAAACTCAGGGAACGTGCTCCTAGCATTAGCAAACGCTTGCATGAATCGACCAGGAAAGCGCTGGAGTCTGCGGATGAAACTGCTGAAATGATTCATCTTCTTAAGCTTCTCGAGAAATCAGATGACATGTTGAACAAATTTCATGACAAGATGCATGAAAAAGCTCAAGAGTTGAAAAATATTTTCGAACAAATGCACCGGCATTTGAAGGGTAAAAAGTAAAAAGTTTACGGGTTCGTAATCAATAATGTAATTGCAATAACTGTATCAATAAAGGTGTGCTGGTGAATGGGTAAGTTTGAATATGAGACTCAGGTTAAATTCAATAAACACATATAATTAGTATCAGATTAATCGTCTCTGCTTGCACACGTGTGTGTGTGTGTGTGTGTGTGTCCAGTAGAGAAGCCCAGGACCTATTAAAGATAAAGGTTGAATAGTAAATCAAAATTGCCTGTGATTTGCCGGTTCCAGACATCTATAAATTTTTTTTTTTTTTTGAGAGAAATTCCTTAGTAGTCCTATTTTTTAAGCCCAAAAACAATCAAGTCCTAAAAAATTTTGACTAGACAAATAAGTCTTACCGTTACAATTTATTTCCACATCAGTTCAAAATTATTTTATTTTTCAATGTTACTCTTACTATTTTTTTTTTGTTTAACAAACAACGGAAGAACATTTTATAGAGAAACTGAAAGAAGGTCAACAACAATGAGATTGAGTAGACCTGAAGGTCACACATTCCAATCACTATCCTGAGCAATATAGTTACAATCTCGATTAGCCCAAGACAAAAGAAAATCACCATTGGTGAGCAACGGAAGAACATTTTATAGAGAAACTGAAAGAAGGTCAACAGCAATGAGATTGAGTAGCCCTGAAGGCCACACATTCCAATCACTATCCACTCTTTTACAACTGAGAGCCATCTTCGTTGGATGGTGAGCAACATAGTTACAATCTCGATTAGCCCAAGACAAAAGAAAATCACCATTGCCCAACTGAAGTAAAGCAAAAATATCATCTAAAACTGTAATTGAGAGAGTATCATTTGGGACAAGAGCCATGGCTACTTGACAATCTCTCTCGACAATCTCTCTCAACAATCACACTGGAGAAGCCCCAGTTAATCAACATCTTAATACTTCCACGAAGCATAAGAATTTCTGCCATAAAAGCTGACTTAACTATTAAAGTACCAATCATCTTCAAATATAAGAATTGAAGTTGTATTGGCTGCTGATTTTTTTAATTTTTTTTGGGTTTCTTCCGGGTCTCTCCTCTCTTCTCATGTCTATGTTTCTCTCTCTAAACTCTCATGCCGATTTGGACCTGGCAAATCCCACCGATCAGGCACGACCTTTTTAAATCCCTAAAAATTCAAACCCAAAATAAAAACAACAAATTAATCAAAAAGAGTATACATATCAAACTTGTATGAATTGTAGGTTCGTACGTGAGTGTTTAGCTGTCGAACGAAGCAAATTTAGCTAGTCGCCAGACGATGAAGGTGGTTCCTCTTCGTTCCAAGAGATCAAGTCGACGATGGACGAATCCTTTACTAGTTGATGGGTTTTGGTGAGGAACGGCGTCGGAATTGATCTCTGAGAATCAGACGCCGCCGTCGCCGCGGCAGCCGATTCGCCGGTCTGTTCAACCGGCAACGATCCAAACCCTAAAAGATGAAAATTCACCTCTCTCTCAGATCAAATCAAACTCAATATTTCATTTTCTTTGCTTTAAAGTTGCACATAAAACAAAAAACTATGGTGGAATTTGTTAAAGCCAATTGCCAAACATGGACTAATCTCCAACTATAAGAGCTGCTGCATCAGGGGAAGAAGAGTAGACAAGCAAGTAAACTGATATACTTTTCTGGTAACACCCATCTATACTTTCTTGCTCACAACCCCCAACTCATCAAATTAACAATCAACAACTAATACAATCAGCGCAGCTTGGTCTCTTCTTCCTCTTTCTCTGGTGGCTTGGACGGCATGACAAGTTAGAGAGAGGAACACAGAGAAAGAGGAGAGACCGAAAGAATAAAAAAGGAAAGTCAGCAGCCATTTATTGGAAAATAAAATAAATTTAAACTGATTTGGAAATAAATTGTAAAAAGAGGACATGTCCAAAAAAATAAAATTTAGGACTTAATTTTCTTTCAGTTTACTTAGATAGAGTAAGTTTCTTCAAATAGGCAACACATAAAACGCAACTTGTCCGCCTCTATTACTTGGAGACGTTGTTATGTTAATCCCTCCGTTGGAAATGCTATTCCAATTCGGGGAAATTTCCTTTCTTTGTTGGGTTCTAAATCATCCCAGAAGATATGGCTAGGATTGCTACGTCTTCTGAGTACTAAATACCAACTAAAATTAGGAATTGGCATTACCAACCTCTTACAAAATATCCTGTGCGAGTCAACTGTAAGGACCGCTTTGAATACAATACCTAATTGTTACGAGATAGTTGAATATATGACAGATATAAATATCCAAGTAGAATGTGAAAGGATTTGAACATGGTATATGTTTGGCTTCTAAAAATTGAGGTTTCACTTTTCAGGTATGCGGAAAGGAGGGTGAATGTTGGACGTGTTAGGAACTGGTGTCGTTCCAAAGTGGATATCCGAACAACTATCTAGTAGGAGATTATAGGGATCAGGGGATTGTACGAAGGACTAGAATTACCACCTTCGAAGGTTCTTTTTGCTTTGAAAAAGAACTTTTGAATTGATTTATGCCTAGTGGAAAGGAAAGCGGTATTGAAAGTGCAGAACTTCAAAGTAAAGTGCTGGAAAGTAAGAATAATAAGTGCATGACTTGAATTAAATATATTAAAACTGCATTACATGAATGTAAAGATACATAAATGTAAAGAAATTGAAGTGTTGTTGGGCTGTGTGATTTGAACAGGGTTTGCAAGTGAAGTATAAGTGCTCTATTTATAGAGCTTTCCATGTATGTAGCAGCTTGATGTGACAGCTTCAGCAACTTCCACGTGACCAAATCTCGGACTGCCATGTGTCCCATGATCTTTCAACTTTCTTTAAATGTTGCCAAGTGTAAAACCATATTCTCCCATGACTTATAACTGATAGATGGTGGACTTGGTGGTTGAATACATGCTTGCAAGCCTTCTCCCATGTTCTGGAACTACCCAGATGGAAAGGTAGCAGTTACAGCAGGAGTTGAGAACTTCCACCTGGAAGGTCCGGATCTTGCCACGTGTACCATGTCTTCCTTAGTCTTCTTATAGTGTTGACATATGTAAGAACATGTTCTCCCATGATTTATAACTGATAAATAGTGGACTTTGGCAGTTGAATGCATGTTTGTAGACCTTATCCCACATTTTGTAACTGCCCAGATGGAAAGGCAGCAGTTCCAGCAGTTGAGAAATTATATCTGGAAGGTCCAGATCATGCCATGTGTCCCACATTTTCCTCATCTTCTCATAGTGTTGACACATGTAAGAACATGTTCTCACATGATTTATAACTAATAGATAGTAGACTTTGGCGGTTGAATGCATGTTTGTAGGCCTTATCCTACATTTTGTAACTGCCCAGATAAAAAGGCAGTAGTTCCAGCAGTTGAGAAATTCTATCTGGAAGGTCCAGATCATGACACGTGTCCCACATTTTCTTCATCTTTCTTTGGTAAATGAATTATGTTTTTAGCCCACTTTACTGATTTTTAGCCCACTTTGCTGATTTTTAGCAATCTCTTCACCTAAATAAGGCAAGTGGTTGCCTTATTCTTGGAGTGACTCCTACAAATTAGGAGATATTATAGGAGTGGGGGAGTTATCATTCTTGATGACTAGGTCAAAGGTATACAAGGCTTTCCAGATGTTTGCCACATGTCCCCTTGGAAAGTCAACGTCTTTCCAACTGCAGATCTTGTACCAAATGGCTTCATTTGATGAAGCCACATGTTGCTTCATGATTGCGCTTTTGCATATCACCTTTCCAATGGGATTGGCTACGACAAACCTTTCCAGCCAGAAAATATTTATGGTGTAAACATATGCCGCCCCCTAAATTCCATGCCTTGTGGAACAACTTGATAATAAGGCATGGGATTTGAATTCCGCCATCATGAAGGAAGAATAAAAAGAAATTGAAGAAGAAGAAGTGGAAGTGGAAGTACCGGAAGAACGAGGGGATATTTTGTATGAAGCAAAAGGATAAGAAAAAGTTTCTGAAGTATTTTCAATATGGCTTGACTTAACTTGGAATTGCTAACATTCAAATGCATGTATAAGCAAGATGAGTAATTTCCAGTATGAATAAAACCTGGACCATGTAATGTAGCATCTTCTCAATGAAATGCTCCATACTTAGAAAATCAGCTGATCTTGAAAATTTAGCTAAGTCAGCTTCATAACTTTAGCCAATGTACTTTAGTACATTGCCATGAATTCCCTATCTCCAGTAAAGGGACAAAAGTATATATTTAACATTATATATGCTCCTTTAACTTACATTAATTATCCATTATAAAGGTGACCTTTGAAGTGGACATATATACCAATGAAACTAATTTTAATCAATTAAATAAAGAACTTGCTGATTGTTTGATCAACGTACTTCGTCAAAATATTTGGTTTTGTATAGGTGCTTCATTCAGAATATTTGGTTTTCGCTTGATGGCTGATTAGCAATCAATTGAAAGTGAATATGAAGAATCATGTGCGCGAATCACTAATAGATGTGAAAGTTACTTCTTGTTAATTGAAGCTTGCCAGCAAGACAATTATGTTTTCTCCAAAAAATTTTTATACTGATTTTACTTGTGTAAATTAATGAGCAGCAGTTATTTGGAAGGGGTTGTAACTTGTAAGCATTAGCTTGTAATTGTGTATACCATGCGTATCTTAATTTGTTACTTTAATAATGTGGCATTTACTGATGTTTATCTTTGTATCTTTAATAATGTAACTTCTAAACTTAAAATGTTTTTGTTGATTGTCTTATTGTAATTGATTATTTGTTTGATCACAATAGGTATACCGATAAGAGTGACAGCTTCAACTTTGGTGTTATATTGGGTGTTCTGTTAACTGGTAGAGACCCAATGGATCCATTCTTTGAGGGAGCAGTCACTGGGGGAAGTTTGGGACGGTGGCTTTAGCATTTGCAACAAGAAGGGGAGGCTCGAGAAGCATTAGATAGAAGTATCTTTGGGGAAGAAGTAGAAGAAGATGAGATGCTGATGGCAGTGAGAATTGTTGTCACATGCCTATCTGATTTGCCTGTGGATCGACCATCCAGTGATGAACTTGTTTCAATGCTCACCCAACTGCATAGTTTCTGAGATAATGTTCTCTGATTTGTCATGTAAGTCTCTGTTCTTCGTGTTTTTATTTTAGTTGTCCTGTTATGTCTATACAGTGGTTGGAAGGAAAGAAAAAAAGAAAAGAAAGTAAGCTAGTTAAGAAACAATTTCGTCTCCAAAACGCCACTGTTTAAGTTGTTTAATTAATTAATTTATACAAGTCTTTCAGCTGCAACACATCCAAGAGAAACATTTTTTGTATATGACCCCTTTGCCTTGTGCATGTGTTTAATCTTTGATAAATGCTCTTTTTATCAGCCACATTCTATGTTTCAAAATAAGGCTGTTTTGTGTGTGCGTGTTTGCTTTGACAGAAAGTGTGGAGTATTGTACACCTTAGCCCAACTTTATGTGCCGACTTGAATTTTTTGGGGGATATTATTGTATTTTTCACACTTTTTATGTTGCCATAATTCTATAGGAGTATACTGGGGCAGTGGTTATTTATTATGAACTCTGTAATTTCATTTTGCACTTCATCATACTGAAATGCCTGACTCCGTAGACGTAATCCATGTTTTGGCTGAATTACTTAAATACATGTGTTCTTGTTTGTATTCTTATCTCTTTTTCTGCTAATTTTTGCAACAGGTGTTTGTGTGTTGAAGCATTAGATTAGGAATCCGAATTCATCATTTCTCATAATCAAAATTTGGTTAGACAAAGAAACTGAAGCTTGAATAGAGTTGCACAAACCAATATTGAGAATTGCTAGTTAAGACGAAGTTGAGCTTGTAACCTGGTCAAATTTGAGTAAGCTTATAACTAACTCTGCTGAATTTCGAGTTTAACTAACACTGAAATTTCAGTGTGCGCATGGTAAGTTTTGATGGAGTTCTAAAGAAATAAACATTGTACATAATGGACTGATACTAATGTCTGGTCATATTTGGCTTTGAGGTTGCAATTCAAGTATGGGATTTGATTGCTTTCTTTGGTTAGCCAGCTGAACATGAGCTGAACATGGGCTCTCAACTTTCTTCTTTTGCTTTTTTTTCTTTTTCTGTTTTCTTTTTAATAATGACTTCTCAATCCTCAATAAATGAAATAAATGCCTAAAGATTTTTCTTTTAGGAGTAATGCATACCAAATATAAGAAAGTAATGCCCACCATGCTTACTAATGTTGGGTGTATTTCTATTATGATAAAGGGATGATATTATTGTAATGGTGGGACTTGAAAAAAAAAAAAAAAAAGTGAGTTTTGATTGATGGTGATAAAGTGAGAATTGATAATTTTAGTTCTTATGAAAAAAAAAAAAAAAATGTGTACGGTGAGATTAGCATTATTTGTGATAAGGATAAAAATAATAGGCAACTCAAAGTCAAAAGAGAAATAAGATAAGGGTAAGGGATTTATCTTACCCAAAATCTCTATGGAATCATAAAAAATATCTGGTTACCATATGTAACCAGAGTTACCATTCCTGTAAGAAGGGAACGATATCATCTTGGATCAGGGAGAATCTCGCTTCAACAACTACTACCATTAATGCTTCTATAAAAGAAATGATCAGTCAACCTAAAAAGGTACGCCATAAATTTTATATGTAATCCTTATCGGATATTAGATCGTCAAGTACTAACTTGACCGTCGGAGTGCACCCGGCAGGCACCACGCCGATCATCACTTCTCTTGTTTTACAGGAATCGTCATCGACTCCGGAGCGTGTAGATTTTTGGCATCAACAGTTAGCGCTGTCTGTGAAAACGTATATTAGTCCCAACAAATCATGGTTCGTACAAGGGAAATCTACGACAAAACTTAAAAGCAATCAGTCCCTTTACAATCTCGCTTTCTCTAAAAGAAAGAGAACAATTCATAGATTGCATACAGTTGCTCAATCCGGTAAAATTGCTAGAAAGCCCCGCCCGACCGCTAGCAGTTGTTTCATCATCGCTGTTAATCAGGTAAGTTTCATGCATTACGCGTATATCAAAATATATGTGTATACTTCCTCACATG